TGGCTATTTTATTTCCTAAACGTAGCACTATTTCCTTGTAACTGCTTGAGAAATAGTAAATTTGGTGGAGTTTGGAAGCTCGGCTGTAATCTCCTCCGTTTAAGAGTGGCCTCACAGAATATCTGAGGTGGATTTTGAGTCTAAATCTGCTCCAAATCCTCCAAATCCACAATGCCATAGGGCTAAGGGGTCCAAGAAGTTGGCTTGTTAAAACAGCACGTGTCATGAGATGAGCGACTGCCTTACTGACCTGTACCGTGTGGGCTCCCATGGCATGGGGTAGGCGAGCAGAGGGGAGAAGAGAACTTGACTGCGGGGCTCCACAACTTGTTTGAAAGACCAGAATTTACTGCACAGGTTACAAGGATACCAAGCAACACTTSTTATCAACAGAAACTTAGCTCAACTGGAATACTTACTTTCTAATTACACTAAAAGTTATGCTAATGGCAACTACTTAGGAAATGGAGAAAGCTAGCTAATTTATATTAAATGATTTAAAATGCTTTGTTTGGGTAACTACCCAAATGAATGYATTAGGCAAACCAGTTTGGATTGATTTAACCCATGTTTCGCCTCAGCGGCCTGTGTACGCTTAGTCCCAGGGAGGTAACTGTGGGAGGGCATCCTTGTCCCRGCAGGCCCTGCAAGTTGACAGACCCACTGTCACCTGTGAAGAGCCTGGGATGGAGCCTGGGGCCAACCAGGCTGTACCCTTCATGGGAAGGGGGTTGTGGGTCGTGAGGCTGGTTGCTGTTCTCTTCACACYGTCGCAGTCCCTGGCTTTGGGCTGCTGCAGTGTCCTGCTCTCCTCCTTCAAYATCCTCCTTTTTGGAGTGTGAAGCCCAGGCTTGCAGACTGCTTGTTGCTGGCACCAGATGCAGGGGGAGAAGCTGGAAACATTTTGCTTCCCCCTGCCACAGACGCATTAGCAGTGCTTAAAATAACAGAAAACTAGTGAGTATGATACTGCTTTTTGCTTAGGTTATTTATATTTTGAGTCTGGTATGCTGTGAAAATCTCATAATGGATGGATGCYGCATTGACACAGAGCCAAAGAAAAAGCGTTACAGTAGAAATTGTCCATTGACTCTGTGACTGCAAGTGTGGAAAATCAGAAAGAATTAGATAGCATTAATTCAAGATGCACATTAAAGCCAAGGCACAGGATTGGTGTATAAACAGCTTTAACTGTATATATTCATTTCAGTGGCTCAGAAAACAAATGGGAGATTACTGGGATAAGATTAACTGCAACAAACGCAGGGAAATGATGAAGCAGTTTGAAAAGCTYTTTAAAGTAGAGCTGTTAAATCTAGTTAATGTGTTTGATTTTGGTTTTTATAATTACTTGCATTGTTCCATTGAACTCCTGCTGAATGTCCAACATAGTTGAACTGTCATGTCATAATTAAAAAAAAACTTAGAAACTGAATTCCATTGTGATTAGTATGATGTTACATGCTTTAACATATGTTATGCTCATGCTGGCTGAGAGCTGCCTCATACTTAGCTGAGGAGATGATCCTTGGTTTAAAATAAGCAACCACTCTGACAAGATAGTTAATGGAAGCATTTATCCATATGCTAAGGTAACCAAATCACTCTATTCACTGTTGCCATGTAGTAAGAAGGTCATAGATAAGCCTTTGTAAGGAGAAATGCAATTTATTTTGATTCCCACCATGACCTATCACACAGGCATTATCCAAGCTAGCAGCATCGTTACSAGTAAGAAGGGGTGAGTTCTGAGGTTGTCTGTTGATCTGGACCCACGCAGTAGGTTTTAGAGCTCGTGGACTGGCTGTATTGYACAAGTGTAGAGAAACTACCTTGCTTGCTGACAGCAAGGCATATTTACATGGTATTCATAGCTCAGTACCTTGGTCAATATTCCTTGGTTTGTTAGATTTCTAAAATACATATAGTGCTCTTCAGCGCTCTTTCCATTTGATACACTGAAAATTATAAAGTGAAATGCATACATCTTTTGCTGAAATGCATACATCTTTTCTGAGATTGTGGCRTAGATAGAAAAGCTGATTATGCCAGGAAGAGTGAAGACAAGACCATATTTTAAAATGAAACCCCCTTACCAGAAACTCTTTCAACTGCTAGCTTTCATTTTGGCTAATTCTGATCTTCCCAAACCACTGAAACTAGTAAGGTTGCAGATATTCCATTTAATTGGAATTCCATTGCAGATTAAGAGGAGACATTGACTGTTTTTTGACCCAATAGTCTCCTCTAGCTCCTGCGCTTAGGCTGTTGAGTTACTTCTGTGTCCTTATTTTTTTTTCCGTCACATCTCATGCTGTTTATTTCTAAGTGCATGTGTTCAGTTAGCACAGTTGGTTAGGACTTTAAAAGCTGTCTCAGGAGGGACACTGCTTGGATTTTTTTAAATGAACTAATCTGTCTCTAGGTGTTTTTGATCACTGAAAAAAATGGATTTAGTTGCCAATGTCACRTCTTCAGTAGCTTCATTTTTAGCTTGTACTATGAAGCTGCTTTCAAGGACCTTTTAGGTAGGTGACAGTCTCATTCAGCAGGAGCATGGCCTGGGGAGCAGCAGATGCTGTAGGAGAGGCCTGAAATGTAATGGCAAGCTCATTTCTGTGCTCAACCCAGTGTTGCCAGTCACTTTCTTTCCATGAAAAATATCAAACTGACACCAGTGGAATTGAAAAGAAAACCTAACCAAACAATTGCATTATTGTCATTGAACTGATTTGGAGATGTCACATTAGGTAAAAATCTTTATAAAAAATGGCTTTTTCTTTTTTAAAACACCAATAAATGAAATATATTAACATTTCCTAGAGTAATCCATCACAAGCTTACTTGTCTGTCTAGGATTTTCCCCAATGCCTTCTTAGTTAGGTAAAAGATGTGCATGARTGTGCAGAATTATTTGATTTTTTTTTCAATGAAGGATGACAATTCATAGAAAACTGAGTGGGCCACATTCCTAGCTGTACATTGCAGCTGAATTTCGGAGTTCAATGTTTGTCCTGGTGTTTTCTTAATTTGCTACAATATCATTCTCCTGAAAATTTCTATCAGTGCACTTGTAACAGCATCATTTCATAACTGTTTTGTGTTGAGTCTTAGTTTCCTTCCTTCCTGTGGTTTTCACAAGTCTCATTAGTAGGAGCAGTATGAGACCAATGCTGGTTGCATTACAAAATTTAACTGCTGGAGAGTGACCCAGCTTTGTCGGGTCAAATTTTCAAAGTTTTATTTTTACACGCATAGATTGATGTCAGTGGTGAGTACTCCCTGTTGTTACAGGAAAAAAAAAAAAAAAGTCTATTTGAAGTAAGTGGTTCTGTGCCCTTCATAATATATACACATATAGAGAGCTTGGAACACAGAAGCCAGGGAAATTATCCCTGTTTTTCAAGTAGGCATGCAAAGGGCTCTCTTCAGAGTAGTTGTACTAGTTATGTGATATATAGCAAAGAAACAAAATGTAATCACTGTTCAAATACAGTGRATAAAGATAAGGATTCTCTACAATTTATCTACCAAATGTGTGTGTCTGTCTAACACAGTGGCTCTAATGACACAGTTGTTAAATATTAAGTATGTCCACATATTTCCTGCAAAATCTGTGTGGTGATGCATTCATTGAGTTGAAAAGCTGACACAATGTAATGCTTTTTTGTGCTGCCTCTGGACAAATTATATTATATTTTATCAGTTCCAAGGTCAAGAGTGTTATTGTGACTCTTAAACCATGGTGTAGTAAAGTGGGCTCTACTGAACTTATGAGGAACAGCTCTAAGTTCTCCTGATTGCTGCAGCCAGGTATCTCCATCAGCAAAGTTCTTTGTCTGAGCCCATTTTTCTTGTTTATAGCTCTAACTTGGTGCTGCAGTYTGATTTCAGAATTGACTTTCACTCCAGTATAGGTGGAGTTGTAGAGCTCGAACGTATTTTCAGTATGTACAGTGGTCATTTTTAATATGTTTGTATAGAAATGCTTTAAATGCTGTTTTCAATTTCAGTGCCAATATCAAACACTGTTTTCAATTTCAGTGCCAATATCAAACACTTTGTACTGCAACAGTTTGTATTTCCTTCTATCGTGCTGTTACATGGATTTTTTTAATCTGAAATCATAAGGTCTTTCACACAAAACCTGAACTGGATTTGCATGAATTCAGTATCTTCTTTTCCTTATTTAACACTTTTAGCCTAATAGCAGCTTGTCAGTATTTTCCTCACTTTATAAAAGCAAGCAAAAGATAAGAAATGTTGTCTTTATGCCCTGCGTGCCAGCATGGGTATGGCAATATTCWTTTTTTTCATGAATAAAAATCCTCAAATAATTTTATCTTCTCTTTGTGAAGTGCAAAACAATTATTTTAAATAAGTTAATATTCTATTGTTCTTGTTTGCKTTTACTTATAAAAGCAATACTTTCCAGAATCCCCTTTTCCTTGGGTATTTTACTTTTTTTCTCTTTYCTCCTTTTATACAGGAAGCGAGAATGGCAAACTGAGTTATTTTATCAACATACCCTCCCACCTCCAATCTTTACCTTCCTTTTTTGATTCGCTATTTTGAGTTCTTCACCGCCTGCAGCCAGATCATTGATTCACTCATGTGACTCTTGCTCTTTGGGAGCAGACTAAGAAATACAGGTGGCTTTCTCTTATCTGCCCAGGGCCACCACCACACACAGTCATCAAAGAACCCCGAGTTTCTTTGGTGTGAAAGGGCAGCAAAAAATAAATAAAGGTAATGCCTCTCTGTGTGATTGGCCTAGTGTGAGGTTAGGTGGTAAGATGCATTTTATTGACTTACTGTGCTTTATGGAACTTCTTAAACTTACTTTATTGTGAAAYATGCATAAAGTTGAAATGGGAACTGCTCTCCTCTTTCAATAACCCTGCTTTGATCTTGTTCCTTTAACTCTTAGGAGCACTAGCAAAGACTACCCTTTCCACAGAGAAACAAGCTGGTAATACCTTTTTTCCTTTCCTTTTCAGGGATTAATATGTGGGAGGCTGTGAACTATTTGCTTCCAACATAGGAACAGCACTGGGTTGGCAATCTCCACTCCTGAGAGAATGCTGGGAATCTGCAGAGGGCGACGGAAATTCCTGGCTGCCTCTCTGACTGTCCTTTTTGTTCCAGCCATTACCTGGATTTATCTGTTTGCTGGGAGTTTCGAAGGTAAGAGGGGAGCACTGGCCGGAGGAGGCGCTGAGTGATCTGTGTATGGGCAGTTAAGCGCAGATCAGGCGTTGTTGGTTTTATGTGCACCAAGCGGACTGGACTTGCATAGGAAAAGGCTCCCAAAGAGCAGATTGGAACAAAGGGCCTTTCTTACCATCTCCTCACTGCAGAGGAGGAGGTGACTGCTGACAGCACTTGATTTTCTTTTTTTTTGGAAAGTTTTGAACAGTGTAACAACAGCAAAGATTTCCCCTTACTCGTTTCRCTGTGTTTTTTGATGTTTAAGTGTTGCTCACACTGATTGTGTGCACGAAAGCCTGAGCATTTCATCTCAACTGTGCAGTGATTAATCTTCAGAGGAAGTGTCAATAATACTGGACAAGCCCAGGCCTAAGCCTGCTTTCAGTACAAAACTGTGCCCAGGCCATGCTGCTGGACTAAGAATTTAGCTAGCCGCAATTCAAGAGCTCTCAGGAGAGTCATTATGAGAGATGAAGTTTCTCCACAGGGAGTCTGAATGTGTTTGTAAGGATGGGCTGGATACAACCATGCCCATCTGTGGATGTCCCAAACTTGGCTTTTCCAAACACTGYATTAATATGTGAAGGCTGAGTTGGATTGTGCAAGGCAGCCAGTCAAGTGCCAAGAAGAGCTCAGAGTAGGAATTACTGTGCCACATAAACCTTCACCTTACAATAAAGCCTAATCACTAATGAATAGACCTGAGATCAGATGATCTGGTTTCAGTTTTAATGTTCTTTTACTGGAGAGGATAGGAAGGTGTTTGCGCTGCTTCTAGTTCTTCCTCTTTAGGAGCTACAGCCATTGGGGGCATCTGCTCACTTCTTTTTAGAAGCAAATGTTATGTCTTGCTTTAAAAGTTATTTTGTGAAATGTTTCAGGGCCTTCTGATCTAGTTTTATAACTCTCCATTCCCCAAACCTGTGGACACATGAGGCTCTTTTATTGCTTTTGTTCTGYTTGTATGAAGACTCTTGGTTCTGGCCACTGTCTCTGTGCAAGTTATGCCAAAAGGCTGAATGCAAAACATTAACTTTAGTTAATATCTAAAGCATCTCTATACATAAAATCAGTTTGAATCCAGATCCCTCTGCGTGGAACTTGGTTAGCAGCTGTGGTTGGAATATCTTTCTGTTCTCTTCTTTCTTCAAGTGGATTTCCTCAAGCTTGTGTATAAATTGACTTGTGGTTGTGTAACTAGCACTTTTCATAACCAGATTTGCAGGAACCAGTACCTTGCCTTTTAAAATCTCTGACATTGCCTTTTAGATTTTCTGACAAACTTTTTTTTTCCTTACTTAAAGAAGTTTAGCAATGATGTTTCAGTTAGGCTACAAAGTGATGGATTTCAGCCTTTTTTTTTTTTTTTCTACTTTCTACCTTATTAAAAAATGATGGACTATTTTGTGTTTGGCAATAGGTATATATATTATTTTGGCAAGTTGAAAAACATTTGGCTTTTTTAGTTTGGCTTTTTTAGCAAGAGGAAAAGTGTTTCAGCCTTTTAAAGATTGTTCAAACACTGTTTTATAGTCTGGTAATTTTTAAAAGGCATTGTTTTAAATGTCAAGCTTCTTCTGTGTTTCTTTGGCTGAGAAAATTGTCCTTCGTTTGAAATCAAAGTTATATTCCAAATTAAATTAAAAATAAGAACATCTGAAGATTTTTCAATGTACTGTACATAACTTTCTAAATTATTTGCATGCTAGGTACAAATATTTGCTTATGCAAATTTATGTGGTTCCTAAAATGTCTGCCTTAATGGGCAGCAGCTTGTTCTAGATTGAAGCACTTGTGGGATTTACATTAAATTGGAGTAATAGAACGGGTGCAGTCTGCATCCTGGAAAGCTAATGAGTAGGCAGAACAGTGCTGATTTTGTTTAACTTTTAAAAGCTGAGCAAATGCAGGCCTCACCTTTTTGCTTCTGTTAATATTATGCTGCCATGTTGTAATGATTATTTTGTGTCCACTGTTGATAATAGGATACTGCTTTAAATTTCTCTCTGTGTCTGTATCCCWTGTTTTTACAAGGAGCTCAAAAGAAATAACGGAATTTACTCCTAAACAGTATTTTAACTGGTCTAAACATCTCAATGTGAATTAATCTTAAATGCAGGTTGGCAGCAAAGACCATTACCTAGTAAGAAACTCTGCACAGGAAAAGGAATGCAAACAATATTAAGTTTATAATTGTTTCTATATTATTTCTGATTTTTCCTTTTGTTTTCTGGATGGATGATGATTTTATCTYAGTTTATAGGTTAAAAGCCAAGGTCAGTTAAACTAGTTATTTAACCAACTTGAAGACATTATGGACAGAAAGATAAAACAATTCTGCTGTCTTGTCTGATTTCTTGTTTTGCATATCATTATAATTCACACAATATTCTTATGCTTTAAGCTCCCCATAGATGCTTGAATAAAAGATGTCCCTATGCTGCTTTCATTGATCACATATGGTGGTAAATGTTTTCTGTTGAGCTGACCTCAGATTCCAGTCAGTGTTTTTTGATATGATTTTCCCCACTGAATTAAATAAATTAAGAGTACGTGGTATTTCTGTAGATGGAGTTATTCAGGTATGGAATAATGGGAGGGACCTCAGGAACTCTGTCACGGTAATCCAACCTCTTACTCAAAGCAGAATCAGCTACAAGATCAGACCATATTGCTCAGAGCTTTGGTCTTGAAAACCTACAAGGCTGGAGATTATCAAACCTCTCTTGGTAATCTCAAGATTGGGATTATCTGAGATTCGCCTCAAAATGAAAAAGGTTTTCCTTATACTCAGTCTCAACATCTCTTCTTTCAATCCCTGGCCTTTGTAGGAATGATCCTGTGTTCCTCTGTACTCTGCAGGGTACAAAGATGCCTCCTCCCCAGGCTCTGCTCCTATAGTTGCTCCTCACAAGGCAAGTGCCCAAGTCTCTGGCCAGCTGGGTGGCCCTGCAGCAAGCATACTTCAGTTGATCAATCTCTTTCATATTTTGAGGGACCCAAAACTGGACACAGTATTCTAGAAGTGCCTAGTGAGTAGTGAGTAAGAKGGAGTAGTCATATCCCTCAGTGTACCTCCAGAGGTCCTATTGATACTGCCCAGGATACTGTTGGTCTTCATCGCTGTCTCTGCACACGCTGCTGGCTCATGCCTTAACCTGCTGTCCAAATTCTAGACAGTGCCCAAACTATTAACTGCTACCCCTTGAGCCCAACAACCGCACCAGCTTTCACCCATTGAGCAGTYCACGTAGCTAAAGTTTAACATCCTAGCTTGGATAGAAGGATGCTGTGGAAGACCGCACCAAAATCTTGCCAAATTGATGAATGATTACACCAACTATCTTTTGTTATTCACAGATGTAGTCATTTCACCACAACAGGCAGTCAGGTTGTTCAAGGATAATTTACTCTTGGTAAATCCATGCCTATTATTCCCTTGGCAAGGCTTGCTGTTTTTCTCTTTGGAGGTGCTTATGTACAGTAGTCAGGTCATCTCTCAGTTTTTTTTTTTTTTTCAGTAAACTAAAGAGGTTGAGCCGGGTGAGTTGGCAAAGTAAAGAATTTTGAGCTCTTTTGTTTGCATTCTTTCCCTGTTTGTTTGTTTGCTTGTTTTTTTCAGGACACTGGAATTGTGTGTGTCTGTTCAGTGCTAGTGTTTGCAATGCTGCATGCTGTGATAAAATTGTGTGTTTTCAAAATAATTAAAAATTGAATTACTTCTCAACATATTTATATCCAAAGATTTCACTTGTTCTTCTGCCACAGCATGGCACTCATGGGGACCTCATCGAGAAACCATTTATAATCTCTTTGTTTGTGGACCTATAATACAAATATACCCTAATGTGATGAGTTCCCATGTCTTGCTTTTTTAACTAGTTTGCAATTCTATCTATAGGAGGGGATTTTGTTTCTTTTTTTCTTCTWTTTTCCCSTCTTGTCAGAAATTGTATTGCAGGCTGCTACATCACAGCTGCCATTCAGGCACTGCTGTGGCAAGACCCTTCCTTGGAGTATTCGTTGGAGGTGGCGTTACCCAGGCTGTGGCTGTGACAGCAACAGCTACTAAAAGCCTCATTTATCATGTGTAAATGTCTATTAAGGTTACAAACTAGAATATTAAAGAGGACTTTGAATACTGTATAGCCTTTGAACATACCTGGTTACTGTTGTTGTTTTTAATAATGCACACAAGGGCAGAATAATTTCAGTTATCAGTTACTTTGAATGAAAAAGGTAATTGTTCCAACATTCTTAAATTACATTTAGAAGACAAGGTAATAGAATGGGAAGGATGGAGTGCATTTAAAACAGGAGAGGAAATAATGAAATAATACATAATAAATTCCTGSTAGAAGAAAATAGCAATTTCACTAACCAGCAGTACCTGGAGAAATAGCATAATTTTCCTAGATATATGCAGCAGTTTCATATCTCCTTTACCATGGAGGTAAAGGGTATGTATACATGATACATATAAAAAGGATGTATGAGATTGTAACATGTTCTCTAAACTACAGGTTCCTCAGTATAGTTTCCACTGTGCATTTGTGGATTCACAGCAACCTCTGTTTTGACAGAATGAAAATTSATTTGAGTTATCGTGGCAGATCAGCCTCAGATTAAAAGCCCTGAAGTGCCCATGTAGGGCTTCTGTATAGACTGTGCATCACGCACAAGGAAGGGCCACTGATGCAACTTTTGTATGAAAACTTGGTAGGACTTTTTCTGAGATTATGTGCAGAGTCCATGATAGAGAACAAAGTTGACTTTTTGCACAAAGAGCTTTGATATACATGACAGAGCACAAAGGKTTTTTTTTGTTTTATTTTGTTTTTAATTATTACTAAATGCTAGGCTATTTTAATAACAGAGCCTTCCTTCTTTCTAGGATTTGCCTTTCTAGATTGTCCTGTTTTCATCTTAGTGTTAGGTGACTATCATTCCCTAACATAGAGTAGATTTTAGCCCAA